ACAAGCAGATAAAAGGTCCAGAGTTCATTTCAAGTGTGCTATTTGCATTTGGAATCATTTGCTGTCAACTCTCAATATGAGATCCAAAGAGCTGTCACTATCAGTGAAGCAAGCCATCATTAGGCTGAAAAAACAAAACAAACCCATCAGAGAGATAGCAAAAACATTGGCCAAATCAACTGTTTGGAAAATCCTTGAAAAGAAAGAATGCACCGGTGAGCTCAGCAACACCAAAATACCCAGAAGACCATAGGAAACAAGTGTGGTGGATGACCGAAGAATTCTTTCCCTGGTGAAGAAAACACCATTTACAACAATTGGCCAGATCAAGAACACTCTCCAGGAGGTAGATGTATGTGTGTCAAAGTCAACAATCAAGAGAAGACTTCACCAGAGTGAATACAGAGGGTTCACCACAAGATGTAAACCATTGGTGAGCCTCAAAAACAGGAAGGCCAGATTAGAGTTTGCCAAACAACATCTAAAAAAGCCTTCACAGTTCTATGGGCAGATGAGACCAAGATCAACTTGTACTAGAGTGATGGGAAGAGAAGAGTATGGAGAAGGAACTGCTCATGATCCAAAGCATACCACCTCATCAGTGAAGCATGGTGGTGGTAGTGTCATGGCGTGGGCATGTATGGCTGCCAATGGAACTGGTTCTCTTATATTTATTGATGATGTGACTGCTTACAAAAGCAGCAGGATGAATTCTGAAGTGTTTCGGGCAATATTATCTGCTCATATTCAGCCAAATGCTTCAGAACTCATTGGACGGCGCTTCACAGTGCAGATGGACAATGACCCAAAGCATACTGCAAAAGCAACCAAAGAGTTTTTTAAGAGAAAGAAGTGGAATGTTATGCAATGGCCAAGTCAATCACCTGACCTGAATCCGATTGAGCATGCATTTCACTTGATGAAGACAAAACTGAAGGGAAAATGCCCCAAGAACAAGCAGGAATTGAAGACAGTTGCAGTAGAGGCCTGGCAGAGCATCACCAGGGATGTAACCCAATGTCTGGTGATGTCTATGCGTTCCTGACTTCAAGCTGTAATTGATTGCAAAGGATTTGCAACCAAGTATTAAAAAGTGAAAGTTTGATTTATGACTGTTAATCTGTCCCATTACTTTTGGTCCCTTAAAAAGTGGGAGGCACATATACAAACTGTTCTAATTCCTACACCGTTCTCCTGATTTGGATGTAAATACCCTCAAATTAAAGCTGAATGTCTGCAGTTAAAGCACATCTTGTTTGTTTCATTTCAAACCCATTGTGTTGGTGTATAGAGCCAAAAAGATTAGAATTGTGCCGATGTTCCAATATTTATGGACCTGACTGTATGTGCAAGTAATGTCATATCTACTAAACTGTGAGAGGTTTGGGGGGTTTTCTTTTAAAGTGTGGAGTGGTCTCCCCACACACATACACATACACACATATTGGTGTTTAAATTCAATGAGTGAAAAAGACTAAACATGGCTTCAGCACATTGGTGTTAAATGGTTTAGTAACTAAGGAGTTTGTGCACTTTTTAGCACCATTCCCTCTGATTTTTATTAAAATTCCACTTAATTTATTTGTACTCTATCTTCGTTCTAGCATGGTAATGAAACATTTCATTTTACATATTCCTTTGTAAGCTGGACAGTTGAGAATAAAGCAGCTGATTCATTAAGAAATGGTAAGGAAGAGAACCAGCAACATAGAAATCACGTTCCAAAACCGAGTCAGCTCCTCACATACTGTGTCTCTTTTCCCCCAGTCCCTTCTGTGTCAAACACTGTACAGGCATACAGACACTGTCATCAGGCATGCAGTCACAATTAATACTTATATCTCAGTCCTTTGCAATCAGGTGCTTGAGGAGCATGCTGTCCGGCTGGCTCTGTGGAGTCCTAATCTTGCAGTTAGGCCCTATCACTGGTCCCGCCGTTCTAATTGTTCATCTGGGTGGCCGTAATTCCTATAGTTAACCACAAGGTTGTGGCCATCTTGTTTGCATAAACGTAGGCAGCGGTGTTTGGGCATGAATCTCATGGAACTGAAACCAGATACAGAAACTCCCGAACACTGCTGGACTTCCATCATCGCCTGCGTTCATTTCTATTCAGCTTAGAAGGGCACTGTTCGGTGAGATCATTTGTCTAGATGAAGGGAGCAATCTCCAGGGAAAGACTATTGACTGCATTCGGTAGTTTGTTTGTTTGCAAACTACCGAACTAGATCGGCTGCAAGCCCTGATTCTCTGGAACAGTTTTGGGCATGAAACTATGCTTGCAGCCGGTCAAAAAGAGACTTCCATGAGACTTTTTAACCCCTGCTCTGATCTGGGTGATTTTTGGATATGTTGTTCACCCAGATCAGGGCTATCAGGGGATGTTATGTTTTTGGGTACTTTCTGAACTTTGTGAAAATGTGGTTTTTCTGCTTGGAGATAATTGAGTTCCTTACAGGACTATACTCAATTATCTCCCAAGCAGAGGGGAGGGATTGTGTGCTGTACATTGCCATGTCACGGGAACTCACCTACCTGGCTAGACGTGAGTGGGAACTAGAGCAGGACTACCAACAATTCCTCAGCTCAATTTGGACTCAATCTACTCAGCACCAGGCAGCGTTACCAGGAGTCGAGACAGTTGATCTGTCTCCCCAGCGGCAGTGTGTTGTAAAGGGAGAAGAGACAATCGGTCTCTCTCCCCAGCGGCAGGGCATCTCACAAGGAGAGGAGATTGTCGGTTCCTCGTCCTTGCAGCAACCAGCATCCCTGGGAGTGGAGATGGTCGCCCCCACTACCCAACACGAGGCAGCGTTCCTGGGAGTCGAGACAGTCTGTCTGACTCCCCAGCAGCAGCCAGCATCACAGGGAGAGGAGATTGTTGGTCAATGGTCCCTGCAGCAGAAAGCATCCCTGGGAGTGGATATGGTCGGTACCACTACCCAGCACCCAGTAGCGTTACAGGGAGAGGAGACAATCGGTCTCTCTCCCCAGCGGCAGTGTACCCTCCAGGGAATGGAGACAACAGGTTTCATTCCCCAGCATCTGTGTACCTTACCGAGAGAGAGAACAACCGGTCCCCCTCTCTTGCAGCAGCTGCCCAACCAGGTTCTGGGGGTAGTGGAGGAGAAGGCAATACCCTTCTGCCCAACCGGTCCATGTGGTTTCATACTGGACAACCCCCTGTACTATCCAGCTGTAATACTGGCTACGGGGCAGAGCACCGCTGGCCTCTGCCCACCAAATACCCACAACTACCTGCCTGGGAGCACCCGAAAGATCGGGGGTGACAGACACCCATTCAGCAACCTGAGACATACCGGACAGAGACAGACTACAAGAGTCATCAAGTCCAGTAATTGTTTGTTGTGGTTGGGCTCTTCGACTAACTCAAGGACCAACTGACAGGAGGTTAGGTACCTGGTTAGTCTCCCCCTGGGAGGGAAGACATGTGACAAACTCCCCTTTTTCTGTGAGTTTGCCATGAGTTTTTGGAGGGGCCTGTTTGCCAGCCTCCTACCCTGTTACTACGGCCCCTGCAATAAAACAGTCTAATATACTCCAAACAGGCTCTGTTCGTGCAATTGGGATTTTATGGTTCATTTACCGAACAACCGCACGTTTATGCGAACACCTAGTGGTTGTCTATAGGAATTGCAGCCACCAAAAAATGCCTCTAAAACCTCCTGGAAAGGGTTAGAGAGCTGCAAAAGGAAGTAAAATGGGGGTAAGAGTAGGACAAGTGCCTTGCAAACAAATGTGGATAGGGAAATCACTTAAAATAACATAAAATACATAAAAATAAATAGCTAGGCCATAAAATAGCACTAGATGGAATCTTTGATTTTAGCTTTGGAAGAACATAAATCTAAATCTAAAGCATGGCTGTCAGGAGGATCACCAGAATTATCCATTTGAGAGAGGGTTGGAGTGCAGGGTATTCTCTTTCATTGTTCAAACTGAGCTCAACTCCTGATGCATGGAGAAAACTCCTGATGCATGGAGAAAAGGCCTTCACAAGCCTCTGCTAATGTGTACATAGTTTATACTAAGTGACCCATAGGTTGAGGAGGCGGTGACCATGGCGGTGTAGGAGGAAGCGGTGGTGGAGGAGGAGGAGGTAGCCAAAACTGTTTTTTATATATATATATTTATTTTATTTTTTTAATTAGGGTAGCCCCCAAAATATTGGGACATATAAAAAAAGAAAAGTTTGCGGCCTGCGGTGCATTTCTTGCAGTCCTAATGCATGGAGAAATGCTCAACTCCTGATGCATGGAGAAAAGGCCTTCACAAGCCTCTGCTATTGTGTACATAGTTTATACTAAGTGACCCATAGGTTGAGGAGGCGGTGACTGTGGCGGTGTAGGTGGAAGTGGCGGTGGAGGATGAGGTAGCCAACACTGTTTTTTATTTGTTTTTTTAATTGGGGTAGCCCCCAAAAGATTGGGACATATAAAAAAAGAGACATTTGCGGCCTGCGGTGCATTTCTTGCAGTCCTGATGCATGGAGAAATGCTCAACTCCTAATGCATGGAGAAAAGGCTTTCACAAGCCTCTGCTATTGTGTACATAGTTTATACTAAGTGACTGACCCATAGGTTGAGGAGGCGGTGACGGTTGAAGTGGCGGTAGAGGAGGAGGAGGAAGCCTACACTGTTTATATATATCTATTTTTCATTTTAATTGGGGTAGCCCCAAAATATTGGGACATACAAAAAAGAAAACTGTTCCTCAGAGCGACTGACCCGTGCGTGCTGCATCTGAAACTCCACTATCGCCTGCTGCTGCTCGCACAGTCTCATGAGGCGGTGAGCGGAAAGGCCGAAGTTATGCTGCAGCGCAGACAGGCGAGCAGCAGCAGAGTGAGGATGCCAAAAGTGCGCACAGATGGCCCGCACTTTCTGCAGCAGCTCTGATATATCTGGTTATACACCGTGGCATCACAAGGGCCACCCAGAACTGGCTCAACACCCATCAAGCCAAGTTTCTGGAGGAGATCACCCAGCTCGTCATGCTAGAGCACTTTTTCAATGTGCTCCCCAACGAGAAGGCGATGACGCATTCGTATGTCAATCCATATCAACTTTCGATGCCATTGACTGCGCCTACCATGGTGACCACGGGTAACGGGGAATCAGGGTTCGATTCCGTACAGGGACCCTGACAAATGGTTACCACATGTAAGGAAGGCAGCAGGCGTGCATATTACCTACTCCCGACGCGGGAAGGTAGTGATGACAAATAACAACACAGGACTCTTTAGAGGCCCTGTAATTGTAATGAGTCCACTTGAAATCCTTTAACTCTGATCAATTGGAGAGAAGTCTGGTGCGTGCTGCAACAGAAACTCCACTATCGCCTGCTGCTGCTCAAACAGTCTCTCCAGCATGTGCAAAGTGGAGTTCCACCTTGAGGGCACGTCGCATATGAGGCAGTGAGCGGGAAGGCCAAGGTTACGCTGCAACGCAGACAGGCGAGCAGCAGCAGGGTGAGAACGTCCACTATCGCCTGCTGCTGCTCAAACAGTCTCTCCAGCATGTGCAAAGTGGAGTTCCACCTTGAGGGCACGTCGCATATGAGGCAGTGAGCGGGAAGGCCAAGGTTACGCTGCAACGCAGACAGGCGAGCAGCAGCAGGGTGAGAACGCCAAAGCGCGCACAGCCGCTACAGTAAATGTCACATCCTGTTCCAAGTTGTGGATCAGTCTGGTGATGTCTTCTGGTATCCAGTACTCTTTTTACTGACGCTGCATCAGGGCCCTGGTACAGGGATACCCCGTTTATTGCTACCCTGCATTGCGCTGATTCACTATAGCACTGTTACCGTACTGGTACTCGCAGAGCGCTAAACCCTGCTGTATTGCAGTTTTTTTCCATGCGCGACCCGCTTAATGCTTAAAGAGCGTCATTACAGCGTTAATAGGGGCACCATGGGAGAAAGAACCAGTGAGAGCCAGAAAGAGAGAGAGCAAAATCCAACCTGGAAAATCCATTGGCAAGGTACAGAATACTTTCTTTGTTCCCTTGTTTTTAATAATGTGATTATTAATTATTAATTGTCTAATACAATTTTTCCCACTTGTTTCTTTGTTCCCTTTGTTTCCTGTAACTTTCTTTGTTCCCTTGTTTTTAATAATGTGATTATTAATTATTAATTGTCTAATACAATTTTTTTTATTTTTTTTGGGGGGGGTATGTCAGAGTATTTATATCGGCAGACATCTTGTGCTATGATAGAAATTAAAAGTGTATATGCTGAGTCACTTTTGAACAGAGCAGACTCCATTTTGTTATTTCCAAGTTAACAAAAGACACAAGATTTCTATCTGTAAAACTAACCACTTTCCCAGAGCTAAAGGAATGCATAGTGTATACAAACCAAGTGATAAGGAAAACGGGGGTTGGACAGACTGTCTAAATGCTAACGGAATAGATCAATTCTACACCCAGACATTTGTGACAGAGGAGATTAAATAATACAATTTTACTTTCTATATGTACTAGACCCCATTGTAAATTTAAGGTGAAACTTAGTTCATGACCTGCCATTTTAGAAATTATAGCAGGAATTGCGGACACTAAGTCTGGACAAAACTAAGAGAAAACCCTTTGAAGTGAAAGAAAACGTAAGTTATGGCCACGATAAAGATAAGCCAAAATGACGTCAAAATAGCCACCAGGAAAAGTTAACTCTTTCCTGGATAGGTATGTTTAGTGGGACAAGACTGCCCTCTATAGACCAAATACTTAAATTGCGATCTGGAAGATAACCACACCCCCAGTGTTGCTATTTGGTTAGCAACTAGTGAATTTTCCCTTTAAAAGTTAAGACAAAGAGGGAGAAGGGTTGAAAGAAGGAAAAAAATAGAGAGAGGAATTGGAAGTTTGGGGACTCCAACTCGGACATGCAGAGAAACCCAGGACAACATCTGAGAATTTTACTGGCTTTCTAACCAACACTACTTTTCACTATTACCCACGCACCTCCATGCAGAGAGACATCCAAACAAGTTCCTGAGATTACAAATTTGATGAAAATATCTACTCAACTGGTAATTATACTGGTTTCATTTAATTAATTAAATTAATTAAAATTTACTAATAGCATGATATATGACTGGATAAATCACGGTCAGATTTCCATATTAAGAAATCTTAGTTAACTAAAGAATATATAGTTATAAACTATGATGTGATATTATCACGTGTTAGCATACCGCTGTTTTTATCCAGGTGTATTGATTTGTTCTAATATAAGATAAGATATCTTTTAGACAAATTAAACTCTGCTTATATATCTGGTAGATTATTCTTATTGGATGGTTCCAGGAAATGACTAATGAACTGGTTTAAATGTTATTTTATTTAAAATTACATAAGAATAGATCTTAATTACCTAGGAGATTTAGCCAGCATTGAAAGGGTTATTCAGTTGATCTAACTGTTAGCCAGGGTTTTATGGCCCTTCGCTGTGAAAAGCTTCGCTCTCTCTCTGTAAGGATACCTCATAAATCGTGTAAGTTTTGACAGAAAATGCTGTTTAGCCATTGAAACGTGTATAGCCATTCCTTTGTATTGCATATCATTTTATACTGGATATTCATTGATTATTGTCACGCATGTTACATATTATTATTATTATTATTAATTAATTTGTTATTATAAAATAAAATCTATTTTTATAACAAAATTGTGATTTTATTTATATGAAATACTTTTCACTTAACACGATAACGACCTTTGGGATCTGAGAATTGAATAAGTGGGCAATTCTCACTGTTTACTATTATTATCCCATAAATATCCCCACAGGTAATGCAGATAGAGTCACATCTAGTGACTGTTATCAGGGACCCCCAAATCCTGCAGAGAACATCCTCTGGCAAGGTACAGTACAGAATACTGTATTGTCATTGTTCCATTATGTTGCATAATGAAAATCTACATTCATTGTATTTTTATACTGTTTTACAGATGTCTGAGTGCAAAGAGGAGCAGGCTAAGGGCAAGCGCCAGAGTATTCCTCTGGATGTCAAGATTCAAGTACTGGACCGCCTGGATAAAGGAGAGCGCCAGGTGGATATCGGGTCAGATCTCCATTTGCCTACCTCCACTATCCGCACTATCCTCAAAAACAAGGATGAGATCAGCACTTCAGCGACGACCAGCACTGCTTCTTCAGCCAAGAAGATCACCCTCTCCAGGTCCTACGCTCTTGAGGAGATGGAGAAGAGGCTTTCCATATGGATAGATGATGAGCTGGAGCGTAACATGCCTCTCAGCCAGGCCATCTTGATGGAGAAGGCGAAGAGCATATACGCTCACAGACAGAGTAAAGATCCAGATGAGATGGAGAATTTTGCAGCAAGTAGAGGTTGGTTTGGCCGCTTTAAGAAAAGGTACAACCTCTACAACCTTAAGATCACCGGTGAAGTGGCAAGTGCAGACACTGGAGCTGCTGCAGCCTTTCCAGCCTCTTTAAAGTACGTGGTGGATCGAGGGAGCTATCCACCAGAGGTTGTCTTCAATGTGGATAAAACCGGGCTCTTCTGGAAGCGGATTCCAAGCCGCACGTTCATCTCCAGGGAGCAGAAGAGAGCACCGGGCTTTAAAGCAGTGAAAGACAGGCTGACCCTTCTTTTGGGTGGGAATGCCAGCGGTGACTTCCGTATAAAGCCATTGCTGGTGTACCACTACCAGACACCGAGGGCAATGAGGGACATTAGCAAGTCCAGCTTGCCAGTTATTTGGAAGGCAAACAGGAAGGCATGGTTCACCAGGGATATTTTTACAGAGTGGTTCACTGACCATTTCTGCCTTTCCGTGTAGCGTTATTGTCGGCGCAAGGGACTGGAGGAGAATGCGCTGCTCATCATGGACAATACGCCGAGCCACCCGACTAACTTGGCTGTGCTGCCCACCTGCATTCCTGTGGAGGTCCTGTTCCTACCGCCCAACACAATGTCACTTATCCAGCCTATGGACCAGGGGGTGATTGCTACCTATCTCCGCCGCACATTCCATCAGCTGATTGAACACACGGACCGCGAGGACAACCAGTCAATGTTGGACTTCTGGAAGCAGTACCACATTATGAAGGCTGTCTCCAACATTGATCTTTCCTGTAAGGAGGTGACACAGCAGTGCCTCAAGGCTGTGTGGAAAAAGATCTGGCCAGAGCTGTGTGAGGATGTGAAACTACCAGAGCCCATCATAGCGGAGATAGTTGACCTTGTGACCATGGCTGGACTAGGAGACACAGATGCTCAGGACATTGAGCAGTTAGTCCAGGCTTCAGATGAGAGCCTCAATAATGAGGACCTTGAAGAACTGGCTGAACAGGGCACACAGAAACCTCAGGACACCAGCGACTCGGACACTGAGCCTCCAAAAGAGCTTTCCTCTGAGCGCCTAAACAGGGCATTGCATCAGGTCAATGACATAATGGATGAGCTGGTGGCCAATGATCCTGATGCAACTAGGAGCAGGAATCCCATTGTGCTGGGAGGGGTGTCTTGCTACCGCAATCTGTTGGATAGCTGCAAGAAGCATAGACAAATGACCCTTGACCAATTTGTGCCCAGAAAAACGAGGCAGGAGGAGGACCCTGGAGCCTCCACATCCACCATTTAAACCTTTTTTTTTTTTACTGTTACTTTAATTTGGTACTGTTTTTTTTATTTATTTGGTGCCAAACCCTTAGTTTATTTAGCTTTTTATTTATGCTGCTGTGTGCAGCGTTAAGCGAGGTATTCCTGCATGTGGCCGTACAAACGCTGGTGCTCAACACCAGGGGGCATGCGGTTACCGTTCACCAGACCCTGCTAATCCATTTCACACTCCTAACTTCTACATCAGGCATACTGGGTCCAGACAGTGTTTGGGTACCGGTCACCGGACTGCGAAACTGCGAATGGCTCGTTATATCTGTTATGGTTCTTTTTATTACTTCAACTGTTACTTGAGAATTCTAAAGATAATACATGCCGACGAGCGCTAGGGGACGGCCGCTCTGCTCTTATGCTGTGCTGGTGCCTCTGTGCGACCAGTGCCTCTTCCTCCAAACTGCACACGTCACTCGCATGACCTTGATTCCATGTGGGGTCTAGGACCTCATCATCCTACACATCATCTTCCACCCACTCCTCAACCCTGCCCTCCTTGCCGGTATGCACTATGTAGAAAGCCACAGCAGTTGGCACCTGTGTTTTTCCAGCATGTAAAGTCTGCAAGGACATA